GCCAAATTTTGCCAAAAATGAAAAGTAGAGAATTCTCCATTTTTATAACTTTATCTGATACATATACATGTACTTATGTTGTGTAGAAAGTTTGAGCTGATTCTGATCAAAATTGGATTTTTAACGAATTTTTAAAGTTGCTCCAAAATTGGGCCAAAGTCCCTGTACTATAGTACAGGGTCACAGGCCAAATTTTGCCAAAAATGAAAAGTAGAGAATTCTCCATTTTTATAACTTTATCTGATACATATACATGTACTTATGTTGTGTAGAAAGTTTGAGCTGATTCTGATCAAAATTGGATTTTTAACGAATTTTTAAAGTTGCTCCAAAATCGGGCCAAAGTCCCTGTACTATAGTACAGGGTCACAGGCCAAATTTTGCCAAAAATGAAAAGTAGAGAATTCTCCATTTTTATAACTTTATCTGATACATATACATGTACTTATGTTGTGTAGAAAGTTTGAGCTGATTCTGATCAAAATTGGATTTTTAACGAATTTTTAAAGTTGCTCCAAAATCGGGCCAAAGTCCCTGTACTATAGTACAGGGTCACGGGCCAAATTTCGTCAAAAATCAAAAGTAGAAATTTTCCATTTTTATAACTTTATTTGATACATATACACGTTCTTATGTTGTGTAGAAAGTTTGAGCTGATTCTGATCAAAATTGGATTTTTAACGAATTTTTAAAGTTGCTCCAAAATCGGGCCAAAGTCCCTGTACTATAGTACAGGGTCACGGGCCAAATTTCGTCAAAAATCAAAAGTAGAAATTTTCCATTTTTATAACTTTATTTGATACATATACACGTTCTTATGTTGTGTAGAAAGTTTGAGCTGATTCCAATTAAAATTGGATTTTTTACGAATTTTTAAAGTTGCTCCAAAATTGGACCAAAGTCCCTGTACTATAGTACAGGGTCACGGGCCAAATTTTGCCAAAAATGAAAAGTAGAGAATTCTCCATTTTTATAACTTTATTTGATACATATACACGTTCTTATGTTGTGTAGAAAGTTTGAGTTAATTCCAATTAAAATTGGATTTTTTACAAATTTTTTTTAAGTTGCTCCAAAATCGGACCAAAGTCCCTGTACTATAGTACAGGGTCACAGGCCAAATTTTGCCAAAAATGAAAAGTAGAGAATTCTCCATTTTTATAACTTTATCTGATACATATACATGTACTTATGTTGTGTAGAAAGTTTGAGCTGATTCTGATCAAAATTGGATTTTTAACAAATTTTTAAAGTTGCTCCAAAATTGGGCCAAAGTCCCTGTACTATAGTACAGGGTCACGGGCCAAATTTCGTCAAAAATCAAAAGTAGAAATTTTCCATTTTTATAACTTTATTTGATACATATACACGTTCTTATGTTGTGTAGAAAGTTTGAGCTAATTCCAATTAAAATTGGATTTTCTACAATTTTTTTCATTTTTGCTAAAATATACTTGTACAATACATATACATGTACATGTAACCTCTGCATGCATAATATAATAATGTATTATAAATATATTATCATTTGTTCTTCCAATTCCCTTTCCTTACTGATAGATTGGTTGATTCCAGTGTCTGGTGTGGTTGCTATTGTCCTGATATTGGTACTAGCCATTGGTATAGCCTCAGTATTGCTACTGGTAGCATGTGTACAGACTAAGAGACTGGGGAAAAGAACCCACTCTTCAAAATCAGCACTGGTATGATATAATACGCACATACAAAATATAGTTTTTATAAAATAATAAATAAATGAAGATAAATAAAAATAAATAAAATTAATAAAGCTTTAAAATTATTAATTAAATTATTATTATTATTATTATTATTATTATTAATTATTAATTTATTATTTGTAATAAATTAATAGTTTGTGTACTCCCGAACAAACTATTTTATAACTATTTTTAATAACTATTTTAATAGCTATTTTTAATATACACGTAGTTTTTAAAAATAATAAATAAATAAAGATAATTAAAAATAAATAAACTTTAAAATTATTATTATAATTATTAAAAATTTGGTATTTTAATAAATTATATATTTTATAACTATTTTTAATAACTTGTTTAGACGGCTTCTGCTGCCTGGTCCGAGTTTGATTCGAAGGCCGTGGAGAATGGGGCATTAATTGGAATAGGTACGTTTGGTCCGGTACACAAGGTCAGTGTCCCTGTGGGAGGAAAAGGAAAGAAAGGGAAAGAGACTAAGGAGGTCGCTGTAATCTCATTAAAATGTAAGTAAAATTATTTTTGATAATAATAATAATTTTTTGTACCGTAAATTTTTGAGGGCTATAAATTTTGCGAATTTGCTTTAAAATTTATTTTTCGGAAGTAATTTTTGTAAATTTTCAAAAATCACAAATTCCACAAAATTCATAGCCCTTGAAAACTTTGCACTATACAGTATTATATAATGTACATGAACATGTAATACCTATAATGTTTACATGTGTAATATAAATTACAATGTAGTGACTTCTCTCTCTCTCTCTCTCTCCCTCTCCCTCTCTCTCTCTCTCTCCCTCCCCCCCTCTCTCTCTCTCTCTCTCTCTCTCTCCCTCTCTCTCTCCCTCTCTCTCTCCCTCTCTCTCTCTCTCTCAGCTTCAGCTACTAAAAGAGACACTGATGATTTTTATGATTATTTGGAATTACTAAAAATAATATCAAATTTCAAGGATTCCTCCTCCCTGCCTGTCCTCCAGTTGGTTGGGTTCAATACAACAGAGACTCCTCACTACATCATGACTGAACTATCAACTCATGGAGACCTACTCACCTACCTTATTGACATCAGACAAAATGTAAGGGAATGTTTTATGTATTATTGAGTTTATTATAAATTTATTTGTACTTGTAAATGGATTCTTTCATTTTGTTATACTATTTATTTATTTTTTTTTTACCTACTTACTTTTACATTATTATTATTATTATTATTATCATTATTTTTTTATTTTTATTTATTTATTTTATTTTTAGATGGAAGGTGGTAGTATTCATGATGATATTCCAGCTAGTACTACAACTGGTGTACTACCTTATCGAGCTGATAGACTCAACCCTTCTGATGTACTCTCCTTTGCTAAACAAATTGCATCTGCTATGGTAATAGAGGGAGAGAGGGAGGGGAGAGGGAGGAGGGAGAGAGAGAGAAAAAGAAGGAAGATAAGTATGAAGACAAATGAAAGAAAGAGAATAAAATTATTCTTTTTAAATTCCCCTCTCCCTCTCTCCCCTACAGGATGCACTCTCAGATACTGGTATAGTCCACAAAGACTTGTCCTGCAGGAACATATACCTTGACTCAGGCCTCAATCTAAAGGTGGCATTCTTTGGTATAGTCCCGGCCTCCAGAGGACTCAAAAGAGACTCAGTATATCCTCTTGATCTTCCTCTCCGCTGGATGGCCCTTGAAAGCATTCTTGATAATAATAACTTCACTACTGCCTCTGATGTATGGGCCTTTGGTGTTACCATATGGGAGATTGTTACATTAGGTTAGTTTAATTATTAATAGAAATTAATGGTAGTATGTACATGTATGGAGGGTTTCCCACAAAGCATGCTAAGTGAGCTAAACAGCATGAGCTTCATGAGCTGACTAGCACTACAATACAGTACATGGCATTTGAGCAACTTTAAAAATTCATTGAAAAACCCAAATTTAATCGGAATCAGCTCAAACTTGATACACAATATAAGAACATGTACATGGATCAAAAAAATTATAAAAATGGAGAATTTGTTACTTTTCAATTTTGGCAAAATTTGGCCCGAGACCGTCCCTGTACTATAGTACAGGGACTTTGGCCCGATTTTGGAGCAACTTTAAAAATTATTCGTAAAAAATCTAATTTTGATCAGAATCAGCTCAAACTTTATACACAACATAAGAACATGTATATGCATCAGATAAAGTTATAAAAATGGAGGATTCTCTACTTTTCATTTTTGGCAAAATTTGGCTCGCAACCCTGTACTATAGTACAGGGACTTTGGTCCGATTTTGGAGCAACTTTAAAGATTCATAAAAAATCTAATTTTGATCAGAATCAGCTCAAACTTTCTACACAACATAAGTACATGTATATGCATCAGATAAAGTTATAAAAATGGAGAATTCTCTACTTATCATTTTTGCCATACATTATAGCACAGTAATTTATATATACAGCATGTACTATTAATATGAGGATGCCCCTTTCATTAAATTCCCCATTGTACACATACTTTAGGTGGGTTCCCATATAAGGGCATACCTGATAACAGTATCCTCTCCTACCTCATGAATGGAGAGAGACTGAGGTGTCCAGCAAACTGCTCCACTGAACTGTAAGATCTCTCTCTCTCTCTCTCCCTCCCTCCCTCCCTCCCTCCCTCCTTCCCTCCCTCCCACTCTTTCTCCTTCACCTCTTCAATCATTACTTAATGTCATTTCTCTCTTATTCTCCATTAGTTATTCTATCATTGAGTCTTGTTGGTTCCCTGATCCAAACTCCAGACCGACCTTTGAGCTACTTCATGAGACAATCCTCAACCAACTAACTCAGGGAGACTGCCAGCGTCTCCTCCGCCTCAACCCAAGAGACTTTCAGCCCTCCCCCAGCACAGACTCCGCCCTAGGCTCCTCCCCCTTTCCCGAGAGTACCGACACTTCATGTCACGACATTCAAGTCGACGAAGAAGACTCAATTTTACCCCCACCCCCTGAATTCACATCCGCCGTCAACCTAATGTTCCGAAAAGACTCTCTTGATCCTCCAGTCGCTATCACGCTGGAGTCCGTTGGTAGTGGGCGTGGCAAACGGATGCCCCTGGCGACGGATCTTGATGCCCCTAGGGTGTGTGTGGGCAGTAAAGTGTATGAGGTTATTGATGAGAATGAGACTAATGGAGCTACTGAAGTGTAGGGGAGTACAGTTGCAGGAG